GAAAAGGCCAAGGAAGTGTCAGGTGAGGCTCAGTGCCTCAGGTTAAAGCTCAGAAACTTGAGCAGAGATTGCGGCTGTCATGGAGCCAGCACGAACCCATCTGAAAATGATGCAGATCGGGAAACAAACACTTCAGATGGCAACTCTGATCACATAGTTCGACGCAAATATCAAAGATTTGCGAACCTAAATAAGGAAGGTAACATACTTTTATTGGATCGCCAAGTGCCGACAGTGCAGAATGCGCAAGATAGTGCACTGAAGACCTCCTCGCATAGGCACAGGTTAGAGTTGGGCAGAAGCAATCGACAACAGTTGGACACGGATGTGCATAATGTCCGATTGCAAGATGCTCACGAAATTCCAATTCCGAGTTTACCATGAGAGAATTCATGTTGGCGTCTACAGTACCAGACGTAAAACCTTTTCATAGTAAAGCAAATGAGAGTTTCAGCAACTTTTTGGAATCATTCCTGTTGAAGTACCCAAGAAAGCATTGGGATGATGAAATACTAGTACAACTTTTCAAAAGTTTTCTGAAAAGGGAAGTCCTGAATCTATTTGAGACACTACCGCAAAGTGTAAAAGAAGGTTCCTTCGACGGCGTAGTCCAGGCGATCAGCGAAAGGTTAGCTGAAGGAGGCAACACTTCTCTTGTAAAAGCCTTGGCTACACTGAGGAATCTGAGAATGAAAAGAAATCAGACAGTAAGTGATTTCTGCTATGTACTGGGGAGGACGTGCAGTCAAGCCTACCCTAATGAAGAAAAAGGGGAAGGGATGGCACTCCAGAAAGCGGAACTTCTGTATTCCCAGTTAGCTAATTGGGAAGGAAGCTATATCTTGGCTGAAGCGATTGAGACTAGCCCGCGAGATGTCGTTTATGACAAAGTAAAAGAAGCAGCGCTGAGGCTGGAGAGAAACCTGCATAGAAAGGAAATCAAGCAGGGCAGCGATATGTATAGCAAAAAGCTTTATGGTAATCAAGCTTTACCGAGACAATGGTCTGATTCGGAGTCGGCCGTTGATCATTGTGAAAGTAGAGAAAGATTGACCGTAAAAAGCAAGGAGAAGTAGTTGCTTCAAATGTGGCAAATCAGGGCATAAAGCAAGACAGTGCACGCTGCAGAACGCCACAAAGGGCAACACAGAAAGAACTGAACGATACAAGGCATCTTCGTTCTTCACTGCTCTTGATAGGTGGTTGTGCGCTACCACAGGTAACAGGAAGAGTGCTGAAGAATTTGTCGATAAGAAGGTAGTTGTGCCGGCAAAATAATGTATGGAAGTAAACGCACTTATAGGCACTGGATCCTAGGTGTCCATAGCATCGTTAAAGCTGTTCACGAGGGCCAAAGAAGCTGGAGTCGATCCAGATACTTATGTGGAGAGAATCTCAGGAGCTGTATCTGATGCTACGATACGCGACGCTTCTGGCAATTTAATAGAGGTCTTGGACGCAATCAAGATGCCTGTGGAATTGTTTGGCAACAAGAAGATTCCGGTATATGTCGCCAGATCGTTAGAAAATGAGCTGATCTTGGGGACAAATGTTCTATGCAATTTTGGTGTCAAAGTGATTCGAAGTGATACCAATAGAGACTTGCTCAGGTATTCAGTCAGGGATCCCTCGAATGTAGTGAAAGATCGGAGTGATAGACTACTCGGAGGAAACAAGACGAAGGCAAAAGTAGGAAGGAGACTTTTAAAAGGCCTACAAATAAAAGAAGAAACAAGGCACACAAAGCGCAGAAAGATGAAGCAAGATTCCAAGAATCAAAGCGGAATCTTGGACGAACCATTGACCGATATGAAGCAATGGACAAAAGCTATGAAGATGCACATGCTGAAAAAGAAACGGCCGAAAAATAGATCAGTCGATGTCAAAAGGATAAGCGTGGAACAGCAAGATGAAGCTGGTTCCAACGCATCTGCAAACAAGAATGTTGAGAAACTCAAGAGTGTCAATGCGTGTATGGGAAAGTGTGCAGATGTACCGGATACCCTCGCGCATTTTGGGATTTTCTTGAAATGATCGACTATGTCAGAGCACATCCCTGCCGAACTAGTCGCACAAGTGGAAAGACACAACAAAATCAAACAGAAAGGAGTGAACACTTGTTGCGGTGTCAGAAATTTGGAAGAAGATCGCTTGGACATGGATCGCATGGACAAGGATCGCATGGACAAGGATCGCATGCACAAGGATCGCTTGGACAAGGACTGTTTGGACAACGACCACAAGGAAGAACAAGGAGGAAGAAATCAAGATTGTAACCGTGTTGTCATTTTTGTTAGTATACGGTAGTACTGTGTTTGCTTTATATTGTTGTGTTGTTACAATGTATTAATGTTGAGTTTTTTTTCCAATTCTGGGGGGCTAGGTTAGGTGTTGTTAAGTGTCGGGACGCCACTTACGATAAGGGGGGACGTGTAGTCTCCAGGCGCCCGGCCTAGGTTTTTTGTCACACTATTGGTCTTGAACCCAACCCATGGGATGTACGAAGCACCATATCTCGTGTGTCGGTTCTGAGATGTCTAGTTCGTTCCTCAATAGTTTCTCAATAGCTCCTCAACAGTTCCTCTATTCACTGTTCTGTATTAGCTCGTCTATCTCATCAGCTGCTCTTGTTCTCTGTATTTACATATCAGCTGCTTTTGTGGTTTGTCATATTTTGTGATAAACCATTTATATTTTAACAGTTGTTCTGCTAAGTCAGTGGAACCTGCGGTCTAGACCGTCCTACCGCCACTGGTATGCTTTGCCAAGCTCTTTGATTGTCGTATTGACAGTTGTCTGCGAGCATTTGGAATTTACGCACATGACCGAAGATTTTCCAGAATTCTGGGCAATTTACGACACGCTGGTGCACAGAAACACCACGCCAGCATCGGTCGTTCAGTGTTAGAATGCTTGCCTGCCACGCGGGCGGCCCGGGTTCGTTCCCGGCCGATGCACCAAAATTGTGATGGTTCAGTGGGATTCTTTTGCCCTTTTCGTGCCCCTGTCAACACTAGAGGGAGTTAGATGGATTTATTCAGCAACAAAATAAGCCGGTATCTCCGGCACACGAAATATGAAGAGTGAGGGGACATCGGTCAAAGGAGGCTGGCCGATGAGCACAAAGAGTCAGCCATGTGGCAGGCTCTTTGTGCCAGAAATGAGTAACATAACCAAATGTAAACAAAATGGGACAAAGAGTTAGGTCCGGGTCGTGTCTATATCAAGACAGATATGTACTTAATATAGTCATTCTGTCAAATGAGCTTCAGTGAGATTTTGTGGTTTTATATTGTATTGCTGGGATCTTGCAGTAACCCATTGAAGAAAGCGTTACCGTGACAAGGCGTACCAAATTTATTTATTTATTTATTTATTCATACGCACTTCGGCGTGCTATCAATCGAACAAAACAGCTAACATGAGGATACTAAGGAGAGCCGCAATGAAAATGAAGTAGTAAACACAAAACAAAACAAAAAACCACCGGATATCTTTTGATCAGCACATCAAGCAACAACATATGGGTGGGACCAGAAATAAGCTGAAAGGACATACTACCGAGTAGTGTAAATTCCAGACTAAAGAATTCGTATATCCACTTACCCTCGCCAGCCAACAGGACATGGGAGCAGAAGCTCGGCAAACGGATACGCCGGCAGCCCCCGCCGACATACCCAGACGGGTACACTGGTAGGGGGCCACCAGTATACCCGCTCACCAAACCTCCACATCATCCCCACCATCCGGCCACCACCACCCCGGTGGGCAGGGGAGGGAGAGCAGCCTTAGGAGGATAACTAAAGAGTGCCTACGCTAACTCATGTATGCCGCCTAGAGCTTACTAGTCCACCCGCAAGAAACACATATGGTAGTCGGGTCTCAACAAAACAAGGTGATCACGCAGACTCAACAGGTCTAGTACAACCTGAGCAGAAAGTAAAGGCAGAGAAGGCAAGGTGCTAGAATTTAAAAGACAACCAAAAAGGAAAAACAGAGCTAAAAATAACATTGAAGCAATCGGAAGGAAAGGAAGTAAAACGTAGTCGGGTGGATGTAGATATTATCATTTGACGTCTCGTAGCTGAAGTAACTCAAGTACATCGATCTTGGACAAGGCTTTTTTGAAAGTGGCAGAATTTTTCTGAAGTAGAAGTGCAGGGGGCAAACACTCAATCCATTTAGCTGTTCTGAAAGCAAATGTGCTTAATCGGCACTTCAAATAGCTTCCGTACACAAAGTTTGCGCAATTTCTGAAGTTTTGCACCTGTAGAACTGTTATGACCCCGCTTGAAGACATCTTCATCCGAGTAAGCATCATTTTCTATAGCATGATAGATGTGAAATCTAAGCTTCCGGGATCTGGTTGAGAAACACTTTTATAGTTAACTCCGTCCATGGGTTCAACTCCCAAACATATGTGACTTTGTGGATAAGTGCTCAATCAAATTCATAGTGTTCAGTGTTCCAAACACCACTGATTTATGAAGACTGTTTGTCGAATTCGAATCAATAATAGAAATAGCAGTGCTCAGTCCCAACAGAAAAATACCCTCTATTTAATCAACGAATAAAGGCGCATAAACAGGTTCACCAAAGCATGAGTACAGAAGACTTACAAAACCACCTTTCGCTGCTGAGAGCGCATCTAAGATTTTGTAAGTTCGAATGTGTGCAATTTACGAAGATGCACTCAAGCAAGAAAATCAAAAAATGAGCCATGCTATGTATGATTAATGAGTTGTAAGCCCATCCTCACGCTTCAGCATTGTGTTTCTCTGCTTGCAATCCATTTACCAAATCACTCTGATTGCGAAAGCCTCATGGGTATCAATCGCGGTAAGTGTACAGTTTATCCAGTAAGAACGAACAGAAATAAGAGTAGCAAAAACATCTATAGCACATTGGTAGGAGTAATAAGTAAGCAGCTGTGGCAGACTGTCAACAATGCAATTAATGTGAATTAGCTAGCCAAGTATAAATGAAGAAATTCTTAAGAATTAGTGTGCCATCTTCAGTGCAGATTTCGAGAGATGTGTTTCCCAGGCATATTTGACCCCACAACAGGAGTTGCTCACCTGCAATAGTTTCCATAAAAAAAATGAACGGAGATGAGATAAAGCTCGATTACCTCCGTTACGTTCCCTTTCATGAAGGACATATGGTGCTGGAGTGGGATCCAGTCGTCATATTTGATGCGAGATTCATCAGCGAACTCTTTATTTTCGGTAGTGGTTGGTCCGACGTAGCCAAACACATTATCGCCGCATGCCATGCATCTGGCCCATTCTCTCTCATGGTACTGATACCTAAAAAACCTTTCACTAAACTGATGTATAGAGTCAAATCACCACTGTGTGAAGTTGCAGAAAACACGATGTTTGCGCGTGATCCACTACTTGTTGGTCACGGCTAGCATTTCTTCGGAATGAGCGCTTCCGTCTCTTACTTTTCAGCGCAATGTATTTGATTATGTGTGCAAACGCACGATTAAGTTATACGAATGACATGCGTCTGAACTAGAGAGTTGTGACCGTACCAACTGATAGGGGATGTTATGATTGCATTTTCAAAAAGCATTTTCTAACCTCACAAAAAATTCCCAGTAAATCTCGATAGCATTTTGCTTCCACTGTACGATATCCCCAACGTGAAATTCCGATGGCAAGCATATTTCTGCGAGGCCGGGTAGCTTCTTAGAACTGAAACCGTCGTACGCAAGCACAAGGGGCCCTATCAATGAATAGCTCATCCTCTCGTCTACGCTTAGCCATGGCAGCGAGCAGCTGTCAAAATTAACACCTAGAGAACATTTACGGATGAGCGGAACTAAACTCATACTGCCGTCCACGTTGGTAAGGGTTGAGAAGGATGTCTCAAAGACATGTCCGTCGACATTGATTCTTATATGTTCTCCACACGTTGGAAGCTCAACAATTTCTGTTTAAAAAATTTTCTTTTGCTAACAAGAGTTGTTGTCGCTCTAGGTGACATGAAATCCTATATCATTTTATAATAAAGAATGGCAAGGTTTTGCACTTACATGTTGACAAGTTACGGACTGAGGCGAGTGATTGCGGAGGGTGCGGAGGGAACAGATTTACCAACAAGGCTAGCGTGTTTTCGTAGGGGTGAGCACAGTGCCTCCTCGTGGAATGTTTTCGAAAAGGGTGTGACTACTGAGTGCAAAGATGCTATAGTATGGGGAGGTGCCGACACTCTCGTAAGGTTGCTAACAGTACCCCTCCCCTCTTTGGCAAGATTGAACCCTGCGCGTATGACTGAATTCGAACCTTGCTTTGAGTTTTTGGTACTGGAGCCCCATGCCTGTCTAGCTGTCGACATATAGCCTCACGTTCATGTACATGCTGCAAGAATCTGCTCACTTCTCATTGTTCTCTTGGAGTATCTATCTTTGGTTCAATAAAAGATAATGAGGACAGTTCTTTCGTTGTTTCTCGAAATACTGGTTTGTTACTATAGGTCTTTAAGGAGCTGGTAGGTCTCTACATTTTTTTCTCAAAAACGGTGCGTTGGCGTTCCATAGAGCAGATATCCCCGCAAGCGGCTCGTAAAGCACGTTTGTAGGGATTCTTAGCTCAGTGCCCCTCATAGCAGTCATTTCTGAAGACACCGGTCTGCGAGAGGTCCATAGGGCATTCAAATTGTAATTAACGGTCGCGGTTTGTGGGCGGCCCGTAGGACGATTCTTTCTTGAATATGGGTTTGAAAGGGCTTTTTGAAAACATCAGTTTCTTATAAGGCAATAACTTTTTCTTAAACATCGGCCTTTTGTTTCAAAATATTGGTTTATGGGTAGGGCAGTTTTTCCTTGAAAAGTTGGTTTCTAACTGGTTCTTAGAACATTTTTGCGGGTTTGAGAGTTTGTAGGGCAGTGCTTTTTTAAAAGATCGGTCTGTGTGCAGTGCACAAGCACTCTTTTCTCGAAATCTCGAAGGGCGGTCCGTAATCGGCCCATAGGGCATTTTTTTTAGTATAATAGAAGCTCACAGGGCAGTTCTCTGAAATATATATTTTTGAAAGTTTGTTAATTTGTAGGCAGCCCACAGGACAGCATTTTCCCAATATAATGGTCTGTAAGCGGCCTATAAGGTAAATTTTCTTGATAATTGATTATAGTTCTGCAGGGTCCCAAAGGGTAGTTTTTTCTTGAATTAACGTCTAAACCAGTCATCCGTTATAGACGTAATTCTGATTGTTGAAATATTGGTTTAGAGGGAGACCTTTTATGGCAGTTTTGTCCCAAAATATTGTTTGTAAGTCTCGAAGGGTATAGCCAAAATTACATTCTGTAGACGGCTCCAGGGGAGTTTTCCTTCTTAAAATGCTGGGTAGGAGACTTATAGAGTTGTTTTTTCGAATATTGGCTGGTAAGCAAATCACACTTTTCCCTTCTTATAAATTGTCATAAATATCGGTCTGTAGGCGGCTCGTAGGGCAGTCTCTTTTTTCTGTAGGAAAGTTCCCATGTATATCGCTCTATAGGCGGTTTATGGAGCGTTCTTCACAAAAAAAGATCTGCAAATGGCTGAGGGCATGAGAAAACAAGAGAATTTATTTTGGTCAAATTTTCTGAGAACTAAGGTATTTTTTGAGTGAGTCTTTTGTACGCATCCGTTTTGAGGTTGACTGCTTTCGGTGACTCTAAATGGAGATTGTCAGGAAAATTTAGCCAAGATCGTTTATAGATGGGAGTCAGAAGTTCAGAATTCGCAAGATATTATGATAAGATAACGCTAGCAAATGTTATGATCATGGTCTATCATGGGTTCTCATTTGAAAAGAAGGCCTTGTTTTCATGATTCGATTTTCGTCATAATTTCATATAATGTCAGCTGAAGGGCTCATTAAAAGTCACCTTATAAAAGGCATGGTGAGGGGGAAATCTTATTTTAGGAATGGATCTGTGGAGAGGTTTCCGTGGGAGGGCGTAATATTCAAAAATCTACCAACTTTGTGTTCTCAAATCCTCGTACGGTTGTGATAGGACTTTCGAGAAATTGAATGATTTGTAGAATCTCGGCGTTTGCGACACTCCCTCATTAACTGGGTTTTCACATGTAGCTCTAAGAAAAGCTATAAAATGTAGAAAGATTCGTGGTCACAGCTAGGCAGCTAATAATTGCTTGCCCCTGCCAAACTGTTAGCGGCCCATAGGGTCGCTAGTCTTGATACATTTCTTCTAGAAATTTCTTTTCATGTGAGTATGAGCAGGCTGGTGGCTCTGATCACACGTCTAACTCAAATATAAAAGCGGAGCTCGAGCCTCGAGAGCGTGAAACTCACCATTGCGCGGTAGCTTGCGTATTGTTGTGACACTGGGGACCGAACGCCATCATCAAAACAACACGATCCTGGTTGGGTCCCACGACGATGTGAAGCACTGTTTCGCTACGTTTCGTGCCTCTACGATCGGGTGCATAAGTACATAGAAACGAAAAACGGTTAGGAGTATTTGACTTCTTTGGCAACACCTTTCTGCCTAAAATATACCAGGCATCCTTTTCTCTTTGGAGAGCTTGGAAAGTTCCTCAGTGGAATAAGTGTATGAAACTCCGCCTTCAATTTTTACGCGAATATCTGTCGGCGAGTTCACTGTATAGGAATGTCGAATTATTGAAAAGAAAAATACGAGAAGCATGTGAGCGTCTTAATTTTCCGCACCCTCGTGTCTCTAAGTTGACTGAGGGATGTCTTTCGACAATATTGTTTTCCTCGGGCAAGGGTTCACATCTCTAATCATGCAAAGTGAAAAAAGGTGAAGTAGTTACACACTCATCAACATACACAACTTATCATGCGTAAAATTAATTGTTGGTTGGATCAAAGCAGTGCTTGGCCGATTTCTCATGTGGAAAGTGGCTGAGAATTCTAACTAAACTAATGTCCAAGAGACCGTTCACACATCCATTTGTGGCGGCGACATAGATCTCGCGGTACTGTACTCGTCTCGAGCGGGCCAATCAGCGTCTCCGAGCACGGTATTGGGCGGAAGATTTGAAATGTATTTGCGGCTAGGAAAACAAATTTATTATAAACTGTCGCTTGGCAGTGGCTTCTAGGACTTCCCAGTCAGTTCAAAAAGGAGTTTCAGATAATCAAACTTCACACTGAAAGTAAATAAATACAGCCGGCCACCATGCGTTCCCTCTGTATCAAGCTCAGCCTATGTAAAATATGAACAGTGACTGAGTTTGGAATATGATAGCTGATTTTATTGATTTGTCCATATACAGTGTTTCTCGTGAGTAAATCGTTTGGTTAATATTCACTTTGGCGTTGACACATGACCGGCAAAAGCTTACACTGAATTCAACTGTTTGATGTTACCATCATGTGCCGTAGAACAATAACTGCTCCCACTATGTGCTAACTATACTTGACTGAAACCATTTTCAGATATGGCTGTTCGACTGCGTCACCGCTAGTTTTTGAAAGCTTTGCGACGATTGTCACGGATTTTGGAGCAGACTAGGAAGCTTTATAAGGAGATTGAAAGAGAATTCGAAGGTGTGAGGCAGTATGAGAGGTATTGTAAATCGAGATAATGTCGAAAGTATGGGAAATTTCTGCTGTTTAGTCTTGCGCAGGGCATATTGCGGACATTAGCAGCCACTGCTCCATTTCACCTCACAGCAGGACATACCAACTCTCTGAATTCTATGAGATGCAAATCTTACTGTAGATGAGTTCTGGTACTTATCGCATAGCTTATTTTTCCTCCGGGGCCCGCAAAAATTTTGGAAAGCATCCCAAAAAATCCGAAAACAATTTTTGTCTCGCCCCGCCCCCCGAAGGGAATTCCTGGGTACGCCATTGCCCAGTACGTACAAGTATTTTGCAAAAGATATTATTCCAGTGCATTTCAACAGCGCTTTCTTTCCATTGCACAGTCGCCTGTGCAGAATCTCACTATAACGCCTTCGTCATCTTTGCTTGCGGAAGCATAAGGTATGACATCCTGGCCAAACCAAAAATTTTATAGAACTGCAATATTTGGTAAAAGAGCAAATACAGTTTTTCTCAACCAACTCACTTCAGCCTCTTTTCGTAGAGTCTCTCAAGCTGCTGATAACTGTGGCTTTACTTGTTGTTTTGCTCGTTTTGCAGATTTACTACATGTCAGCAACATATGTTGTGGGTCAGAGGTACAATCTTTCCTTTAAGTTATAGGAACTCCAGCTTTATAAGCACATTATCAACTTCCAAGGTTTTTGCACTCAATGGCACTTCCTGCGAGGTGCAAAGGAGAAAGTTGGTAACTTGCCCTCCATCGAAATGCTAACTCATCTTCCACAGTCTGCACTCCGCTTGGTGAAAAATTAGCTCGTTAAATGATCTCGTTTTTTTGCCAAACTTTACAGCTGTCACCAATATCTGCAGTAAACAAGGGTCCATCCTCTGTAATTGTTTCCCATATCGCTTATTTGTTGAATTATGCAGCAGAAACAATGTCTTATGAAAGAGTTCCAATATGAAGCGGTTTGCTTGTGTGCTGTATAGACTTAAAATTATCAACGATTGCAGATGGATTGCAGATGGAAAAAGTCCCATACCGAATGTGCCCTCTTGATGTTAACACAGCCTCATCTTTCCGGAACAGCTTAGAATATGCGAGTGATCCAGTGTTTTTGCGTCAAAAATGGAAAGAAGGTTATGTATGCTTGGGGAAATTCGAAATATTAGGTTGTCTCATAATTAATGCACGTTTTTATTTGCTTGCTTTAACAA